TTTTTTCGGGCAAGGTCACCGCCCCCCCAAGCCGAAGGTGTCCGTACGCCTGTGCGTTTGTCCATTGCCCTATTACTCAGTCTTGAAGTCACGCGCTGCTGTAAGGGAGGGTGAGTTTCAGAGACCTTAAATTACAGTTTGAAGCATGGTAAAACACGTACAAGGAGTGAGTTTCTGTTACACAGCCAACTGAAATTTATTTAAAATAATGTTGTTTTGTGATCAGATTGAGTTTGAGGACGAGTCATGGCTGAGCGTACGTCGAGAGGACGTGTACAAAGCTAGTGAAGAACTACCGCTTAAAGTACAACAACGATTGGTAAGTGAAGAACCATCATGGTGGCTGCTAGCACCGACCAGTTGCAATGTAGCCTGTCAAGTGATGTTACTAATCATGAAAAATTGTCCTGGAACGAAAAGGATAGCCGAGATGGAAGGAACGTGATGAAATTAGTCTTACTGCCACTTTAGGACCATTAGTATTGGAGTGTGGAATTTTATGCACTAGGTGTGAAAGTGATAAAAGATAAGTGTGCTGAATGGTAAACGTTCGCCATCAACCAACGTTTCAGTAAAAATCTTCTTAATTTTTAAACCTCAAACCACCACAGAAATGTTCTATTAGACATGTATTCTCAAAATTGGCAACCGTCTCGGAATGGGATGGGAATGGACGAGACTACGTGGGGTTTTCTTATTCCCGCTCCTTCAAATCCCTGATGGCATATTAAGGCAGTTACTTCCGGAATTCGATAGTATTGACCTTGTTAATGCTTGCTTTTCATGTGATTATTTTATTTGGCAGTCTTCAGCGACAGAGCAAGCGAACCTGTCTTACTGGGACGACATTCCTGACCACAGTGCCAAGCGACCACGGAAACAAAACCCACGTTTCCTGTAGAGCGTGTTGTTTAAATTAATTTAATTAAGACATTAGAATTTGGACTCTTTGGCAGACTCTTTGATTCGTTAAGCAAATTTTTGTGTCACGCAATCTTTCCTGTGAAGATTGCATGACGACCAACGACAGTAAACATCCACAACGTTACGAACACTATTGAAGTTATATTTTGATCCATTTCTTTCGCCCAAAAGCATGGCATTACTTTCAATGGGCAGGCCCATTCACTAATGTTTTAGAAAGTTATTGGAATTTTTTTTTTCAGAAAGAAATAAAAAGAGAGCGAGTTCTTGAACCTGTTGTAGGTTGTTTCAGGCAGGCGGAGAGAGGTAAAAAATAGGCTCATTTGTTTTCGAGTGGACTTGAAATTGTTTCTGTGTCCTTTGATCCAACCACCGCTAACAGAATATTCACCAAATAGAACTCGGAGCATGTAGCTGGAGCTAAGCGCGGGAATTAGCTTGCACCAAGCGCGGCAAAACGTACAACGGCTGCCAAGCGCGGGAAACCGTAACTGGCGCCAAGCGCGGCAAAACAGTTCTGGCACCAAGCATGTCACTTCTTTTGAAGCTTATTGGCTAAAATAACGAAATCTTCTCTCTGATTGGTGAAAACATGAAACATCATCACATGAAATTGAAAGAACGTTTCTTAGTGCACTTGAAAACCTTAATAGTTACAATGGATTCGCTTTCTTTAGATTTCTTTTAAAATGTTGTTCATTTGCATCAAATTATCGTTTCATTCTTTTTCTTCGTTTCTTTGTAATTATAGGATATATCATAGAATCTTGTCCCAATTAATTATTAGCGTTTTCAGCCCCAAAGCGAAATAGTATATTTTGGAAGCATTTTTTGCGCGGGTATTCAAATGGCTATGAAACAGCATTTATTTAATTAGTCAATCTTGTATATAACATAGTAATACAAGACGTTATTTCTTCAAAAAAGATTTTCATACGGTCAATACTTTCAATACAAGACGAATAACACGTATTCCACTCAAACGAATGCAGTCGTTGAAACTCCATCAATCCATAGTTTCAAAACTTGGATCTTCACTATCCAGAGCGCAATCCGGTATAATGTTACCGATTAGGGAATCAAAACCTGGGGCCCGTTTCTCGAAGGTCCCGAAAAGTTTTTGCACCCGGAAAGCCGTGGCAAAATCTCAAACCTTATGATTACAGAGCTGTTTTATTTACATATTATTATATGGCTATGTCTCACAAGGACTGGGAACTACCGAATTCACGAATTTGATTGGCTGAAATCGATATTGACCGCGGTCTAGATTTTCCCATCTAGATCGGCATCTAGACCAGTTTCATTTTGCGTTGAAAAAGTAGCAAACTAAAATACAAAAATGTTCGTCATTTTCTTTTATTTTCTTCTCAATCATTTATGGAAGTGCCAAAAAGCCTGATGACAAAAAAAAAAAGTATAAGAGGACGAGCAAATTTCGGCAGGTTTAAGTTAAGCTCATCGCCGTTCGCAAGCGAAATGTCAGCAAACCAGTTACATTAAACGAATTAAAGTTTTC